CTTACACATTAACACATGCATTAATTTAAATACCTTCATGTATTGATTCACTGTGTATTAAAACTGAAAAATTAAACTGTAAAAATACAGTTTGGCATATTTATTGAACAGCATATTCAGTAGAAGTACATATATAGCACTTTCATGAAATAAAATACATTAAATTGATCAAAAGTGACAGTAAGGACATTTCTAATGTTACAAAAGATTTCTATTTCATATAAATGCTGTTCTTTTGAACTTTCTGTTCATCTGTGATTCGTAAAAAATAAAATGCATCACAGTTTCCACAAAAATATTGGGCAGCGCAACTGTTTTCAACATTGATAATAATCAGAAATGTTTCTTGAGCAGCAAATCAGCATATTAGAATGATTTCTGAAGATCATGTGACACTGAAGACTGGAGTAATGATGCTGAAAATACAGCTGCGCATCACAGAAATAAATTACAGTTTAACAGATATTCACATAGAAAACAGCTATTTTAAATTATAATAATATTTCATATTTTTACTGTATTTTTGTTTAAATAAGTGCAGCCTTGGTGAGCAGAAGACATCAAAACATAAAAAAAAAAAAAAACTTTTGTATAGTAGTGTCTATATATTTCAAGGTTAAAATTTATAATCTGCATGCATACTGCAGTTCTCAGTGTCTCCTGTAGAGGTCAGTATGAGAATATACAGCTGTGTCATATCAGGACATTACAGTATGGAAATACTACAACATCAGATGACATCTGATCCCAAAATGATCTCATGCAGATGAATCATCAGAGCATGTGCTTATTCTGATGTGTTATTTTTCTGGCAGGCCCGTATGAATGTCTAGTTCTCGGAAAAAAACACCTATTATGCCCCCCCAAAGCCAATGTGAGGCGGAAATAGGATTTGGAAACAGTGTGCAATGCATTTTGATAAATTTACATCACTTCACATCAACCTGTCAAACAGCCCGAGGCGAGAGAGAGAGAGAGAGAGAGAGAGAGAGAGAGAGAGAGAGACAGAGAGAGAGACAGACAGAGAGAGGGAGAGACAGAGAGAGAGACTGAGAGAGAGAGAGAGACAGAGAGAAAGAGAGAGAGGGAGAGAGACAGAGAGAGAGACTGAGAGAGAGGGAGAGAGACAGAGAGAAAGAGAGAGAGAGAGAGAGAGAGAGAGAGAGAGAGAGAGAGAGAGAGAGAGAGAGATGCTAATGTTCAACAAAACCCAGCAGTTCAAACGCCTCAAGAATCGACACAGAAATTTAGCAGGTTTCATCATTTTCCTGTCAGATATGTTTTCATCCATGAAAGACTTTAGCTCCCTCATAAAATTAACTTAGCATGAGAACATTAAGAATCCACAAACATTAAGATAAAGGAGCATCTTCATCTAATCCTGTCAAGCACAATGCAAATGCGCACCGGGGCTAGTTGTCACAGGGTCTTTATCTCAGGTTTGGAGTCAGAAATGCTTCTTTTCTCTAGTGGTTTTGGAGATTTATTTTCAAACAACTAGTTCAAAACTGTACTAGACTGAGAAAAAAATAAAATTGGTATAGGAAGTACTTTTAAACGATTTTCAATGAGAAATAGCTAAATTTCACAAACAATTACAAAGCAGAACATTGAATTAAATATTAAATTGTGAAGAAGAAATATTGAAATAGTATTTTCCTGTAAAACATACTCAAAAAATCTTCCAATAAACAAAAACTAAATTCTGAATTTTGTCTTCCAGATTTGCTTACAGTTTTTTTTTTATTAACTGCATAATCTACAATATAGGATATATTTAATAAATCACGTTTGATTGTTTTGCTTTTCATAATTGTCTTATATATATTATATATATGTATATATATATATATATATATATACGTATATGCACACTGTAAAAAATAAATCCATAAAATAACAAAAAGTATATGCAGCTCATTACACACAACGTTATCCATTAATTTTACAAACAATTCTGTTAACTCTAAAACAATGCAATGAAGGGTAAAATTCTAAATACTGGAAAACACCTGTAAAAAATAAATATGGGAAAATTCCATATATATATATATATATATATATATGTGTGTGTGTGTGTGTGTGTGTACTCTACATGCTTAATTTGCATTTAAATACAACAAAAGAGCTTTAAGCACAATAAGAAACTACTAAAATATTAGCTTTTATATTAAAAAGGCATATATATATATATATATAAACTCCTCTGCATGTACATTGATGAGCTCAAAGATGATCAGATTCTGATTCTGCGGCTCGTGATGATGATGGAGCGTCGCGCTGGAAACGACCCCCGTTGACTTACATGCGATGACTTCTGTAATTGGTTCCTCCTCTAATTGAAACGTTATAAAAAGGCATCTGTTGATGTGGCAGTATAACCACCGTACGCACAGCGCTTGATGAATTGGCTTGTTGGATTGGTAATTGCAACGAGTAAAAAATGCAGACAGTTTTGGCCATTAGCTCAAATCTGTTAATGTTCTCCAGATGGATTTGCATTTCATATTCTCAAACACTCTGCAGTTTGTACTGCTTTGTTTCGCCTTAAAGTCTCATTTCTGTGGTGCTCAGAGAAAATACAATCGCCTGCTGCGCAAAACATCAGCTAAACACAAAATATGGGATGTGCAGTGGTATTTTTGTACCATTGACATAGTATCAAGTCTTTCATAATTTTGTTTAAATACTTTTTTTTCAGTTTTCACTTTAATTTTAAAGTTTTAGAAACTTTATTGTTTAATGGTCATTTTTATTAGTTTAAGTTTTTATTAATATGTCTATATATGTTTTATTCATTTCTATTTTTTAGTTTTAGTGTATTTAGTTTGAGTTATTTTTTATATTTTCAGTTTACACTTTAATTTTAAATTTGTAGTAACTGTATTGTTTAATGGTAATTTTTATTAGTTTAAGTCTTTATTAATATGTCTATACATGTTTTATTCATTTTTATTTTTAGTGTATTTAGTTTGAGTTATTTTTATATTTTCAGTTTACACTTTAATTTGAAAGTTTTAGTAAGTTTGTTTTGTTTGTCATATTATTAGTTTTAGTTTTTTAGATACTGTAGCTTTTATTAGTTTTTACTTATTTTAGTTTATTTAGTTTTAGTTATTTTATATTTTAAATATTTTACTTTTCATTAGGTTTAGTTTTTTTCAATATGTCTACATAGCTTTTATTAATTTTTATTTATTCATTTTAGTTTTGGTTATTTTTGTTTTCAGGCTAAAGGTTTCAGTATTTTTATTAGTTGTATTTTTTTTTAAATATGTACATACAGTTTTTAGTAATTGTATTAGTTTGAGTTATTTTTCATTTTTGATTTAGACTTTACTTTTACAGTTTTAGTGATTATGTTTTTTATTTTTATTATTTGTAGTTTTTTTATACGTGCATATACATTTTTATTTATTAGTTTTAGTTTATTCAATTTTAGTTATTTTAGTACTTCAGCTTAAACTAAAAGACAATGAGAAATGCTTCTTTGGCAATTAGCTGAAATAAAGTATTTTTCCTGTTATTTTAGGCCTATTTCAGTTCATGTTTATTTTTCAAGTAATGAATATAGGCTTCTTTATGGTTTTAGTTTTAGTTAACTAGGATAATAACCCTGATGCCATTACTGTTTTCTTGAATGTGATCAGTGAGATAAAAAAGCAGAATAATTATAACAGCAGAACGATTCTATAATGTTTTGATTTGCTTTTCATAAATGCAAACATGTTTCTTAAATGATGAGTTCAGTCTAAAGGCGATGAATCCACAAGTGACTCTTACACAAGCTGAGAGAGGAAAACAGACGAGACACATATGAGAAAAACGAGATGCAAATCATCATCGATTCACTCTCTCAGGTTCAGCATCAGAATCTAAAGAGTTACTGCCTCCCACTGTAGTCATAGCAACAGGTTAATCAGCATCCTCTCTGTCGCCGAGCAGGTTGCTAAGATACAGATGAAGTTGCAGGCCCTGGAGAGCATCCAAACAAACCTGTGCAAAATAATACGCGTTTAGTTTTGTCGCAAGCACCCTGAGATGCATGAAAAGCTCTTTCTGGGATGTAGTTAGCAACAGGCCTAACGATACACGAATAAACAATGAAACGCGTTTGTTTTGTCTCACACACACACACAGTAGTTTCTGTGAGGAGGGGACGATTGCAGGTTTCGCCTGCGAGTTGCATCATGTTCCTCCGGGCTTCTATTCCTCACGCTCGTCTCTGGCGATGGCAGGAGAGATTAACGAGCTGCGGAGCACAGATTTAGCCAAAGCGCCGCGAGTGGAGATCCAGCAGGGTGCTGGAGATTTTAGGCTGCTGCTTTTTTTGAAGTTTTGCATAAATTTGACTAAAAAGCAGCTCTTCGAGGAACTTCAGTGCTAAGGAAATCAACGCCCCGATTTCATGTTTTCATCAAATCAGGCGAAAGACGCGCAAAGGACGCTTTATTCCAATTTCCATAAATGTGTCATGGCGAGCAAAAGTGATCCAGATATGACAAACTCCATTCTGAACACTGACTCACTGAGCTGTGAGTCACTCTGACCTTCACACACTCACACACACACACACACACACACACACACACACACATATATATATATATATTTTTTTTTTGTATTTGCCATATGACAACAGTCAATCCATATGACAAAAAATAATTAACAGGTTTAACAGGTCACAACTTTAAAATGTCTACAGATGATTTACAGCATGACTAATTAACTAAATTAAAGTGACATAGTGCTTCATAGGTCTTTTTAGCTTTTCTGTTTCTAATATTGTACAAAGTAGTACCATATTGTTTAATTTCTTTTATAAAATGTTCACAATTTGGCTTAGTTTTAGCCCATTTCTTTACATGAATATATTTTCCAAGTAAAATAATGAGTTGTGTAAGAAAAGAAATTGCACTTTTAGAATCAACGGTATCTTGTACAAAAACATTTTGTTTGTAAAATAGCGGCTTCCTTTGTTCTGTAGCGCACGTGTTTCCGCCCTTTGAACTGTGATACAACAGCGCCACCGTGTGGCGGGAATGAGACGCACAGCAGACGCTCATCATCACAAACATCACCCACTGATTCGAACCAGGGTGAGCATTTTAATTATTTCAGAGTTTTTAGAGTAGTTTGTGTGGTATGAACGAGAAAGTGAAGGTATCTTGCGTTTCGCGTGTGTTGCTCGGTTTGTGTCCACGTGATGACAGCAGAATCCACCAAAACAAACGAAATGCCTCGAGTTTCTGTTCCACAATATTCGCTTTTAGATTTTATGGAGTTCTTAAAACTGTTGCTGAAGTGCACATAGTGATGAAATCATTATTCAGTCAAAGAAAACGCCCCCTGAGAATATAATTACAAAGATCTTATATAGAAATTAACAACCCTAACTGAGAGAAAAAATACATAAAGTGAGGAATATAATATAATGGGGAAAATTAGTTAGTGGGATACACTTTAGTAAACTGTAGCCCATATGTGACCCTGGAACACAAAACCAGTCATAAGGGTCGATTTGGTGAAACTGAGATTTATGCATCATCTGAAAGCTGAATAAATCCTCTTTCCATTGATGTATGGTTTGTTAGGATAGCACAATATTTGAAAATCTGGAATCTGAGGGTGCAAAAAAATCAAAATATTGAGAAAATCATCTTTAAAGTTGTCCAAACGAAGTTCTTAGCAATGCATATTACTAATCAAAAATTACGTTTTTATATATTTACGGTAGGAAACTTACAAAATATCTTCATGGAACATGATCTTTACTTAATATCCTAATGATTTTTGGCATAAAAGAAAAATTGATAATTTTGACCCAAACAATGTATTGTTGGCTATTGCTACAAATATACCCCAGCGACTTAACACTGCTTTTGTGCTTTTTTCACATATCAAAAAGATTCATAACTGATGAGCTCTAATGATTGTGTCTATAACAGAAGCTCACAATAGAAACACTTTCAATTTCTGTTATGGTGCCTGAAATCATTTGTTTACAAGCAGAAAGCGTTCAAGTGATGCTGTTTTTTAGATACTCATCCAGTTCCCTAGATGCTAAACCATAAAATAAAAATGCAATACATAATACATAGAAAATAACAGCTCAAACACATCCACATGTACATTTTCCAACTTGAAATTAAGTTATTGAAATTAAATAAGCTATTTATTAAATTGCAGTTTAAATACATCTAAAGTATCGACTGACTAAATGATGCAATCCCAGCTAAAAAAAATTAATAACGTTTTGCTAATGTTCCCAATGAGTTATGAAAATGTTATTTCTGATTGTTCAAAACATACGGTTTTTAAACATTTTACAGTTTTTTTCAACTGCTTGCAAACAAAATCTTTACTTGTCACACAATTTCTGAAAGCTGGCACTCAAACAGCAGAAGCATGCACCAAATCTACAAAACCATACACTAATTCTCAGCCTTAGACTCAGTTTTCAATTTCATAAAACACTTTTTGCAAAACAACAACAACACACAATTCTCCATGTAAACACAAATCTAACAGGAATTAATATTATGGCAAAGGTGTTTGCAAATGTTTGCTTTTGAGATGTGTTTGTGATCTTTTGAATGCAGTGCTTCATTTTGCGAGAGATGTGAGGCTTTTTGCATTTTGTCCATATGCAATTTCATAAAACACTTTTTGCAAAACAACAACAACACACAATTCTCCATGTAAACACAAATCTAACAGGAATTAATATTATGGCAAAGGTGTTTGCAAATGTTTGCTTTTGAGATGTGTTTGTGATCTTTTGAATGCAGTGCTTCATTTTGCGAGAGATGTGAGGCTTTTTGCATTTTGTGTGTGCAGTTCTTGGACTTGTGTGTAAAGTTTGTAAAAAAGATGCAAAGTTTTGAAAATGTGTTGAAACAAATCTGTAAAAATGTTTTTTCTTGGTTATATATGAACTTTAAGAGAACATTCCATTTTATCAGTTTGTAAACTGTTACTTCAGAACATTCTGAAACAAGTAGTAACGTTTAAAAAACGTTACATTTATGGTGTTTTTCTCCTAATGTTTTTAATATATATCATTAACGATCAGATCCGTTTGAACGAACGTTCTATTAACGTTACTGATACGACGTTGAGAGAACCTTGCCAGAACATTCTGAGAACATTCTCTATTAGCCGAGTTCGAAATGATATACTTTCTAAAGCACTTCTCGGTTAATAACGAACACGTTTAACACAAACACCGTCCTGTATGCATGCAAATGAGTGTTTATTTATTAAGATACGAGTGTTTATTATTCAGTTGAGCAGATCTTGCGCAGACCCCGCCCTCGTCTGAACCCTCATTTGAATAATTTGTGCTAATTGCTCACTTATGTAGAGAGGATCTGGCAGCCCACAGACCGCTGATGAACTACACGTCTCTGGTGCCATTAACTCACTGAACATCTCTATTCACACACACACGAGAGGCCTGCGAGAGACACTGTGAGCTTTAATGCTCTTCTGCCAGGATTTGAGAGCATATCAAGAGTGTGAATGTGTGAGAGTTTGAGAATAGACTTCCTTTTAACTCACGAGTTGGAGTTTGAATTGAATTGCCTACGACACACAAGATGTTGCATTGAAATGTGATTGATAACAGCACAACAGTGAACGCCCACAGACGTGAAACAGTCTTCAGTTCTTCAGTGAAGAGCTTAAACTAAAGCAAGCGGCTCAGAGATTAAGAACATTACGGCATTTGATCTGAAGCGAAATGTCTTTCAAAAGACTGTGAACTTAATGTCTTTTGTGAGGAAATGAACTACAGTCCCATGAGGCATTATGATTTAATGTATGACAATACAATATGAAAGTATTGACCTGTAGTCTTTGATTATGAATAAAAAATAAATTAGAAACTTTTACAAATATATTGTTGTTATTATTATTATAAAATAAAATATCTTATTCCACTTTCCACAACAAAATGAAAGTCATATAGATTTGTAGGTAAATTATGACAAAATATTTTTGTTTTTTATATTTATACATATATTAATATAACATATATTTTATTCATTTTTATATACTTTTTCTAAATTTGTTGAAATCGCACTGACTTGTTGGAATTTACAGAATTTTGAGAGTGTGAGTGTGTGAGTGTGTCTCTGTCTGTCTGTGTGTGTCTCTGTCTGTCTGTCTGTCTGTGTGTGTGTGTGTGTGTGTGTGTGTGTGTGTGTGTGTGTGTGTGTGTGTGTGTATGTGTATGTGTGTGTGTGTGTGTATGCTGCTCTGGTGTCAGTGCTGTCGTCTATTGAATCTCATGCTCTCTGTCCTGCACTGATGGATCTGATTTGATTGCTCGTCTAATTGAGCCGTCAGATGCTGCGGTGTGTGTGTGTGTGTGTGTGTGTGTGCGCATGGCCTGTCTGTTAACTGTTATTTATGAGCGTCATTAGGACATTAAACCCTCATTCGTTCATGTTTCCCGCTCGTTCACCGAAACGCCGTCACTTCATCTCTGTCACTATCGATTTTAAAACGCGTATTTTCACGCGGAACAATAAACGATGTCGACAGCAGAAGAGCACAAACACTCTCATTACTTCTGATTTTCCTGAAACTCCTTAGTTTGCTTTTGGTGATTTGATTTGCCTTTAATCCACAAAGGGAAAAAAAAAGCTTTTTTTAGGACATGAAATCAAGATAATGTGTTTCTTTCTAAGCATTCATGCATAAATAAACTATATAAATACATAATAGTACTTTTGTCTTGTTTTGCTGTACAAACATCTAAAGATTCTTAAATCAAGATGCAAAATGACAAATGATATTAAGTCTTGTTTTCTGAGAAATTAATCAAAATTGAGTTTATGCTTAAAAACATGAAAAAATATCAGCCAATGGTGTCAGAAAAATTAGCTTGTTTTTTTGTATTGAACTAAGTTGTTGTTTTTTCTTCATTTTTTAAGCATAAACTTAATTTTGGTCAGTTTCTCAGAAAACCAGACTTAATATCTTAAATCATTTTGCTTCTTAAGCTAATGTATATTGAATCAAGAATGTTTAGATGTTTGTACTGCAAAACAAGACAAAAATACTAAGAAAATCTTTTTTTTTTTGCAGTGTATTCCTTCTCTAAAGTTCCACAGTATTAAAGTACCATGTTATTCCCATCTTATACCATCATTTTACCATGATGCCACCACAGTAGTTTGTGCAGATCATTTCTCTCCTGCGCGTCCCATCATACCCCCGGCGTCACGTCTCATCTAATCGTCTCTTCTCGCAGCTTCAGGACAGATAAACGTGAAGAGAAAGTTTAAAGCGTTCACCTTCTACATACAGGCTGCAGTTCAGTGAGTTTTCAGATCATTCACACACTAGAGTGAAACGACAAACTGAAGCCAATCTCAAAACACAATCATCCACACCAGGAATTAAATTAATATTTGTTTTTACATTTACTGTGGTACTACAGGAGAAACAAATGACCTTCTAGCTGGTTTGACATCATGAATCAAAGCCAAACGCTGCTTAAAGCATCTGCTAACAACCATTGAACAAAAGGATTGGGATCCAGTATCTACATATACTTTTCTATAGGTAGCATCTCAAACATTGATTGTTATCTATCTATCTATCTATCCATCCATCTATCCATCTATCCATCTATCCATCCATCCATCCATCTATCCATCCGTCCGTCCGTCCGTCTATCATCTATCATCTATCATCTATCTATCTATCTATCCATATATCCATCTATCTATCATCCATCTATCCATCTATCCATCTATCCATCCATGGGATAAATTACAGCATTCTGGGAAATTAAGTGTTCTTGCATCATAAAATGAAAAATAGTCTATTAAATATAAAAATATATAAACTAAATATACATTTCTAAAGGCAGCATTTCAAACATTGATTTTTAATGTCTAAAAAGTCAAAGCTAATAAAGTTTTTATCAGCAAACTTTATGTAAATAAATAAATAAATATTGTAAATAAATTACAACATTCTGAAAATTGAAGTGTTTTTGCATCATAGCTCATAAAATAAAAGTTAATTATATATAGCTATTGGTTAATGTTAACATTAACATGACACCGCATCATTTACATAG